ATTTAGTTCAAATGCACATTATGTTTTATTTATTTATTTATAATATATGTAATGTCATATGAGTCAAGTGAGAAAATGTAAGTCTTATATCTTATGTGATGAGCATATGACTTGTTAAGAGATAAAATAAATAAATAATGAAGGGCTAAATAGTAAATAGATAAAGGAACAATTTATAATAACATTTGTTATTTAATAGGAATAACAAATTTAAAGGGATTAATATCCATTAATGTGAAAACAAAGTCTGTTTTGTGACTAAAATGTAAGCTCTTTATTTTCATTTTAACAATGAAAATACGTAAAATGAGAAGTGATGAGAGTAAAATCTTGTTATCATCTTATCTTAATAGTTTTCAGAAAACACTCCAAAACACTTAGGAGTATTTGTCCTAAGGAGAAAGATACACATATTTTTTTTCTCCCTTCTAAGGTATACCAGAATTATTATTTTTATGATATGTTTGAATTTTCTATTTTATGTAATTTATAGAAAACCATTATAATTTTACATGTTTAATCCATTTTGTTTGAAGAGATGAGGAACTCTAGTTTATTTTCATTTATAAGAAAAATTTTTATGGTTTGTTTTTCTTTGGAATTTTGCAATAAGAAATGTAGAAAATGCTCTGATTCTAGATTATGCTCACGTGTTTTTACATTTCTCTATCAAGAATTTTTGAGATTTTTTTGGAGTATATTTTATAGCATATCTTTAAACATATATTCTATGATATACTTGAACCTGATATATGCATTTAAAGTATATTCTGTTGCTTCACTTACTAGGTGAGTGGGACTTTTGGACCTTCCTCTACGTTATAATTTTAATCCTAGCAATCATAGACACTACCAATCCTACTCCTATAGTTGCAAAGTGGAAATTGCACCAACAATTACTCCTCAAGTTGCATGTAAAAAAATTATGAAAAAAATAGTTTTTTGAAAAAAAATAATTCAAAATTGTCTATTGACCCAATTGGATTTATGTAGTTTTTTTTTTATAAATAACAAAAAAAAAAAAATCAAAGACTATAAAAATATTGTGTTTTCTAAAGAAAAATCTAGGCTCAATATTGACCCAATTCAATTAACCCAACTGACCCATCATTAATTAACCGAAAAACCCAAATGATTGAATTTTTAGATCATATCTTACTTAGATCGATTTGGGCCGAATAGAACCTTTCTGCCTCTTAACCGTCCAAACTCAACCGGTGACACCGGGATAAATAGCATTTATAACCATTTTTTAGGTTAAATACTCACTTAAATGATATTTATTGAACTGAGTATTCGAGTTTTTTATAAAGTAATTATGACTATACTCCACAAGTGTCATGGTCAATTGAAGTTTGCTAACATACAAAAACCGTGAATTGACTTCACCGACTTCCATTTATTCCCAATAACTCTCAATATTAATTGAATATGTCAATTAAACGCATCATATTAAAGGTTTTACATTGATTTTAGCGTTTATATTATATTTAATATTCCTTTCTTCACCTCTTATAAGGTAGCATTGGTAAAAGATATTGTTTCGTTTTAATCACAGTTTTGTCTTAGAATAATACTTTAATGAAATAAAAAAAATCATATAAAACTCTTAATCTTTACTTTTAAGTTATTTAAAACTTTTTGTTATATTGGACACAAATTAAGGAATAATAGAATATTTTTATGACTTGATTTCGTTTTATTTTTAAATTTTTAAAAGTTTGAGATCAATTTTAAAAAAATTATTTTTTAAAATAAGTTGAAAAAAAAATTAATAACTATAATTTAAAAATTATTTTAAATAAAAGATAATAACATCGACTATAATAATGAAAAAAAATTACGGTAAAAGTTGAAAAACAAATTTTGATAACTTCATATGGTAAAAATAAGTATAATTATTGGTAAAAGCATGTATATAATTTAAAAAAGTTAAAAACTTAAAATAAGAAATATGTTTTATCAATTTTAATTTTTTTAATTAAAAAAATAAAAAGTATTTTTACAAATTAACAGTGTAAAAAATAAATAAAAAAATATTTCTCTTATTTAGTAATAAGAAAAATAAAAAAAATCACTTTTCATTATGATCAATATGTTTACTCTTTATTCATGTATAAAATGAAAACAAATGCAAATAATGAACATAAAATATTATTTACAAAAATATCCTCCCCCTCTCTCTAATAAATAATGATTAATTATTAATTATTAATTATTATGATTATAATTTCGATATATATATATATATATATATTAAATTTTATATATAATAAATATAAAAGTCAAATGAATAATTTAATATTTATTTTATAATATGATATTAATTTATTAAACTAAAAAATTTTAGAAAATATATTTTATAATTATGTATTAAAATATATATATATATATATATATATATATATATATATATATAATTGAAAGAGCTGAAATTTTAATTTGAAGTTATTAATTTAAAAATTATGTCATTCATGAAAAGTTAATTAATAATTATATGGATAAATTTATAATTATATAAATATTTAATTTCAATTAATTAATTTAAATATTTTTAAATGAATATTTATTTTCATGTCACTTTCTTTTAAAATAAACCTGCATAATTTTTTTTTACTTTATTTATTTATTATCCAACATATAAATACAGTTAAATGTTGGGTTATAAGGAGCTAAATTATTAATAAGAAATGTTTAAAAAATATTATTAAATTATGATATATATATATATTCTTCAAAAAATTTAATGGGAATCTTAACTCTATTTTTATTTTAAGTGTTAAAAGTTTTATTTTTATTATTTAATACATTATTATTATTATTATTATTATTATTATTATATATGAGAGAGAGAAATATAAATATAGATATATAAATAAATAGATTGATATTTTTCGTAATAGAAGTTTTAAAAGTAAAAATAATAAGATTTTTAATTAAAATATTTAATAAATTATTTGGTGCACTAATTATAGTGTTATATAAGTATATTAAGCATCTTCGTTAAGAACGAGATTTTTGTCTTAAAAAAATGTAAGAGCTTTACATCACACAAAGTATAGATTTATAATTGATTTTGTTAAATTTTTTTAAAATTAAAAAAAATTATTATAAATTATTTGATAAAATGACTAATTTTAAACAACATATCATATTTATTGAATCCTTTGAAAAAACGTTATTTGAAGCAAGCAGTTCTTTGCTCAAATATTTTAGTAAATAAACACTGACGGAAGATGTTCTTGTAACTATGGTTTGAGCAACACCAATAAAACTAAAACTAGTTAAAATTACTATAATAGGTACTATTTAAGAAATCGTTTTCTAATCCCATGGATAATAGTCATGATATGGTTCAAAGTGTAAAACATTGAAGCAATATAGTATATATTAAATAGTCATGATATAATACTTGTTTCATAGGAATTAAATAGTTAGTAGAAACATTACGAATTTATTTTTTATACTAATAAATGATATAAATCATATTATTTACATGGACATTCAATCAATATGTTAATAGTATCATTTTTATTAAATCAATCCTAAATCATTGGAGGCAAACATAACATCTTACTATTAACAATTGATTTCTTTTATGTATAATAAAATACGAAAAACAATAAGGCTTAGCACAAATAATATATGGGACCGGGTTTGGATTGGAGTGGCATTAATCTGTTAAAATATTCTCTCTCTCTTCTTTTTCCAGAAGGAAATTATAGTTTATACAGGAAAAAAAAGTGTTTCCAAAACTAAGATAAGTCATGCTTAAACAAATGAACGTGTACAAATCATTATTCACTTTGACTATTCGTAGATCTTATTCAATTTTTCCTCTCACAATCATATTTGCATTATATATTTGTCTGATTTTCTACGTGGTACATAGCACATGTAGGCAAATTTCTCTTTCGTCAAATATTATCAAGAATAATGAAAGAATTTGTCTAAAAAGTACATGTAGACAAATAAAATTTAAGAAAGATAAATAAAATGATTTTCTCATTACACCAGCTAGTATGCATGGACTGATACTTAATCCCTCTTTTGTACCATCAAATTGTAAAGCCAAGTTTGATGAATTTTTTTAGGATGAAGGCATCCAGCAGCATTCCACTACAGAGGGTAGAGTGTTGATGCCTAGTGATTGCTCTTTGCATGAAAAGAAAACAACTTTGTAAACTGAAGAACAATTAAATTCAATGAACATAGGCTTTGTTTCTGTCTGTGTGATCGTCAACATTTATCTGAATTCCCCTCTTTTACTCCTTCAGAAAGAAATAGATGGGAAAAAGATAGACAACCCAAGTCAAAGAAAGTTAGATATGTTTCCAACTGAGTACTAATGTCTCACTTTGGTTTGTTAATTCCCCACCGCCACTTCTTTGTCTCTATTTCTATGTCCATTTTAAGGATCAAAAGTAACATTCCATGTGGTCTTCATTATTTCTTCTTCCACGTATCCATCATTTATGATTATATATATGCATTAGCACCGCCAATATATGGAGTGAGAAAAGCCATGGTAGCACTTACCATCTTTCAAAACAAGTTCTGATTGATTTCTTTCAACCTGGTTAGAGATATGTCTTGTAAATTGATTATTTTAATCACAAAGCGTACTCAGATGCATGCCAAAGAACTTTTTGAGAAATATATGGAAGATGCATTAATGACATGTTTGTTTGAGTTCAATCTAAAACGTAAGTACATCGCGTCACATCCCTATTCAACGGAGAAATCGCTCTTTTTATCTTCAAGAAATCATGTATCAAACGCAACCCTCCCTTGTTAAACGCGAAACCAAATATGCGTTACACAAGTTGATATATAATATATAGAGTTTCTAAACGCATGTTTGTACTAAAACCGAGATAAAGAAGGTACAGTATATATATTTTCTAAGGTACATATATAGATATTGAATCCTATGATCACACAATAGATTATCTCTATTATTTGAGACACATATAAAATTATTACGACATTAGTAAAAGTTAAAAGGAAACAAGAGGAGCAGACAAAGCTAACAGAGAAACTCGAAAAGGAAGTTTTCCATTGCTGCTAAGGCTGTTGTGTTCATACCTATGTTGGCTTTGATACCTGTAGAAAACCAAAATTTATAAATCATAATTTGCAAAATAAATAATCAAAAAAATAACAGTAAAGAGTGTTTTCGAGATATATAACAATATCCCCAAATTAGCTTATCCAAGGTAAAAGAAAAAAAGAAGGAATTAAAAATGACAGCACATGATTTGGAATAGAAGCAATTGATTTGAAGATATATATGCTGTATATGCCAACCAGAAAGTAGCTTTCTCCATGCTGAAGATTCTGCATCAAGAATCCGAATTCATTTGTGAGAATTGGCACTCCAGAGGAATGAACTAACATTACATCTTCTCCAAACACGGTCTTGATGTCTATTGGTCCCTTTGGAAGTTCTGTTGCAATCCCATTGATAAAAACTGTGATGAATGCTGAAATATTGGTGCTCCCATATCCTACCCCACAAAATAGAACAAAAGTTATTAGAACCTAAACAATAATATTAAAAGGTTCATTTTAACATTTTAAATGATAAAGCAAAGCAAGATGATCCTACGAATGTTTCAGCAAAAGCTTTGAACCTGAATACATTCCTCAAATTTTCAGGCCAACTAGCGAAAATTAAGGTGCAAAAAAGTCTTAAAAGCATAATCTTATAAACTATATGAGTGGTTTCATTGGAAAGCTACTTGATTACCATGTCATTAGTAATAGAAAAAGATAAAGAAATTTTCTTTGAATAATTTTCTTGTATATAACCATTTTGATAATTGATGGACACAAGGAGAAATAAATATGAGATGATATAAATGATGTAAAGGAAAATGATAAAGAAGAATACATTGAATGAAAACATTAAAAAAGAGTATATAAAAATAATGTTATTTGTTAATTATGAATATGATGAACATACAAGATTCCTTTCAACTAGTAACATGGGTTGAAGATGCATATACAGGGAAGAAGAAACCAAATTACCAAAAGGGGGAAAACAAACAAATAACATGAAAATGAGGGTAAAGAACAACAATCTAGGGTTTGGAAATCTTTGTACAGAAGTTTTGAGGAAACCAGAAAAAGAAGTGAGAGAATAAAAAGGAAGGAACAGAAACTGCAACCGGAAAGTAGCCTCATGTTTTTCCGGAAAGTACAACTTTCATGCAATTCAAACACAGAACTGTCAAATCAGGGAAAAGGTTGCTACTTTATTCTGTAGCCTACCCAAAACCCAGTCAGCCGAAAAATAAGAACTTTTACACACAAATCACATTAAAATATACTATTAAGGTAATAAACCCTTCAAATAATCATAACTTCTGTTTCACAGCACCCATTTTAAGCCTCCTGTTACACTTAAAAAGAAAGTTAATTTCTGAAAGCAAAACTCAGATGGTGAATTTAACATTCTGAAAATAAACAAAAGAAAAGTAAATATATAATTTTTTAGAATCTAAACAAAAAATTGAGTAATAACGCACACAAGCATGCAATTACCAGTGTGGAAGCTCAAATTTGGATCAAAAGGAGGGAGCAAAACTGATGATGCAGGTGAGGTGTGGTCAATTATTTCAGGAAAACCCATTTGAGGAGAAGAAATAGAAAAGAAACCATCCATGGCTTGTTGTCCACCACCACCACCACCACCACATGATGAAGAGGAACCACCTAGGAGATCATAAGAAGGGCAAGAACCAAAACCCATGTTTGAAGTAGCACTTTCACTTGCAACAAGATTAACCAGAGTATGATGATCATGCTGAATTGCACCACCACCTACAAGACCATGAGGCTGAGGTTGAGCCTGGGGCTGAGGGTGGTTAACAGCTGCGGTGGCAGCGGCCTGCTGCATCATCTGGCGCTGGCGGCGGCGAGATCTGGAGCGGCGGTTCTGGAACCAATAGAAGACGTTGGCGTCACCAACAGTGCCGAATTTCTCAAGCAGTTTCCTTATTCTGACGGTTTCATCCTTTGGAGGATTCACCATGCCACTGTTGAAGATGGATTCTAGTATGAGAATTTGTTCCGGCTTCGGAGTCCACCTTGACCGAACCGCTTCACTCTTCTCGGGGCCATGCCTTGGACTCTTTGCCTCTTTCTGTCTCTCATCTTCCATTCCAATGCCCACACCAACAAATATCAAAATGATTCTTGAACCTGAAACCTAGGTAAAATAATAATACTATTACACATATCTCTCTCTGCGAGTATGTGTGTGTATATATATATAAATAAACGACACTGAACACAGTAAAGTCCTTTAATGCGCTCATCTTTCTTTTTTTCTTTTTCTTCACGGAAAAATAATTTTAAATATGATCAGATATTATAAATATTAATATTTATTCCATTTCTTTTAATGTTTGATGTGTAGAGTTAATTTTGACTTGTTGAAAAAACGTTTACGTGGACTTCGGACACGCTTATGTAACGCAAGGAAATGTATTAAATTGGTCAAAAAAAAAATAATGTAGAAGCTATATATAATTAATAAGCTTTGTTTAGATGCAGAAACTCACGTCAAACATGCGTTTAACCTCGTAACCAAACATGCTGGTGATGGGAATGTGTGTCCAATTGTAATATGTTGTGGAATTAGAATGTGTAGAATTGATTCCCAGTATAAAACAAATAGGGTCTTAATTTAACTATAAGAGAGTCGAGTCGAGGTGGTGAATGTTGAGTAGGAAAATTACGTTTATAGGGTCCTTCACTCTCTGTTTTATAGTTCTACATAAATACCCTCCTCTGGGTTAACCGTAATAATAGTTTGTGTTGGATTAGTTTCATAATGAGAACTAATTAATTGGTTAATTTAAGGTTAAAAACGAAAATGTGTTTGATTTGGAGCAATAATAACCTAATAAATATCAGAGTATGGTATTATAATGACAAGTTCATGTCTATACATTGAGGGGTGTAGTGTGTGGATACTATTTTTCAGAATGCATATGAACCACATTCTAATAACCGCTGGTTAAAACATGAACTCCATATTAGTAAGTAAGAGAGGGGGAATTGTGTCAATGAAATTAACATAAAAAAATTATCAAAATTTAATTATGCGATTTAATTCAAATTTTAGTTAAAATGTTATATATTCTAAATTAATATACAAGGTATAACTCTTAAAAGGTTGTTTTTTTTTATTGTTTTGTAATTAATATATTTATATTAATATTTATTAATTATAAATATAATAATAATTATAAAACAAAAACGAAATCATTTTTTATTTTTTTTAAAACTAAAATTAGATTAAATCACATTTTGCTTTTATATTTGATTTGAATAACTAAGTAATATTGAACTAAACAAAACAGTAAAAATTAAATCTAAGAAGGTAGTGGCACCAGTTCAATCCCATCATTCTCCTTTTTATTTCACATTTGTAAACGTTTATAGATTTGTTTAGTCTGTTGAAATGTTTATCTGATCATTCTCATTACATGCATCAACACATCTTTCTTTCCGAAGAAAAGATATTCAGTTATGCAAAAATAGAATGAAGCTATATACTTGTTTCCTTAATTTGAAATACCTATTTAAGGGTCTCTCTAACTTATACAAGGATACTAATTAAAAATAAATAAAAATATTTGAAATTTTAAAAAATATAAAGGATTATATTAATAAGTGCTGTCAACATTTACCTTATTTTAGTTGTTCATTTTCCTTATTATTAGTTAATTTTCTGGTTCAACATATAGGTTCTTTTTTTCTTAACTTTTTTTTTTTTTTTACAAAGTTCGTGTAAATATTAAGGATGTTCTCTCACACCATTTGAGATAATAGAATAAGGTTATCCACTAAAGTGACGTTATATTTTATTTTTCTCTAGCTATAATTTTTAATCTCTCCCAGATCATCAGTTTTCCTCTTTAATATGCAATAAATATAAATAATAATTTTAAAAAATGGTAACGCAGAATTCCAGAAAATCCGTATTCAAAGCGAAATTCCGTAACATCATTAAGAGAGTCTTCATTACAGGTCATAGACTCATTACTTTTGAGAAGGTCGAAACTTTTCCCTTTTCATATTCAAGGGAATTATCAAGTTATTTTCGGTACAGAAGTACAAAATTTGAGATTATAGAATTAAATGACATTTAACTACAAATTATTATCAATAAACTAATAAAACATGATAACATATGATAATTAAGAACAAAAATATATAGAATTATTCTTATTTTATTATTTATTTTGTAATAATTTAATAATTAAGATAAATTCTAATTACACGAATGATTTTTCTTTATATATATAAAGAGAGAGAAAATAGATTCTTCTATTTTAAAAATGAATATTTTTATTTAATAAGTCATTATATATTAAAAACATTGAAAATAAAAAATAAATCTTAAATTTTATTTTAAATTAATATATATATATATATATATATATATATATATATATATATTACTAAAGAAAACTAAATGTTTTATATATTAAAATTGTATTTATTTATTTTGAGAGATAACGTACTGATAAATATTACTAAAGAAAACTAAATCTTACCCAGAATTCACATTGACCGGTTTGGTATAATTATTTATAAACGACAAAAATCACCTCTTGAAAACACATATACTATTATTTTTTTTGTTTATATTAATTACTTGATTTTATTAATAGAATATTACTTATATTTCTTATTTACTGATTATATTTTAACTGATTTTCGTAAACTTAGAATAGATCGGATCATAGAAGAAAATAATTAGAAGAATATAAATTTTTTAATATAAAAATATGAGAAAGAAAATAAGATATATAACAGGATATAAGATCTAAATAAATAATTATTGTATAAACAAAATACACAGAAGTCTTTGAAATATAATATAATCAATTATATCATATATATAATCAATGATGAATTTTTGTTATTAAGGTTACGTATAGATACATTTTATTTTACACATTTTCTCACATCAAATATTTCAATTAAAATATATTATCCCTCATATGTGTTTGGTTAGCCACCAGTAAATAAAATGGGAACAAGCCTTGAGGTCATATAAAAACTTTAGTAAACTATTTTCACCAAGTAAAGTAATGACTCTCAAATGAAAAAAAAAAATGTATTTATAATCTGGTGTTGGATAAATATGAAGATAAAATTCTTTTTCCTTATATTGTGGGGTCTATCCTCATATAAAGTTATACTTTACACGTGCAAACTCAGATGGAATATATACACATAAAAGTCTTTGCAATTTAATGCAAGGATTGATGTCTCAAGTTGTTAATAAATGCAGGGTCATATTATGATAAGTGGTTTTGTTCAAAATTATCATATGCAAAATTCAAATATAATTTAATTTAGTTTTTTTTAATTTAAATAAAATTTTAAATTATTTTTTATTATAAAATTATGAAATATATTATAAGAAAATAATTATTTAATAAACATTATATTATGAAAACATTATACATAATTAATTATAATATTTATAATTTATTTTTTTTTCAAATATTTTGATATTTAATTTAAAAAATAATATATTATAAAAACTATTATTTTATATTTTCATTTAAATAATATATTATTATTTTGCTTTAACTTAAATTAGTTTTTAAATTAAAATTCAAAATAAGTTGAAAAAAATATATAAAACAATTCAGTTTTAATCGATTTTTAATATTTTTAATTAATTTATGTTTAAATATTTAAAAAAATTATTAGAGTATAAAATAATTTTTATCATAAAATTATATTTTCTTAAAACACTTGATTTCAATTTAATAAAATAAAATTTTATTAAAATATTACATTATTTATTTATTTATTATGAGTACACACATAATTAAAATAATATAAATAAAATTTTACAATTAAATATATAATTATTTATTTGAAAGGATAATTTTATAAAATAATATATTTTATATTTTTTACTAGTAAAAAGTAAAATAATAAAATAAAAATGAATTTATATATAAATAAAAATAAAAGTAGAAAAAATATATTTTTTAACCAAACTAATAAAGATTTTTTTTTCCTTTTCGAAGTACTCGTGGATAAATTTTTTAAACCGACAAAAATGTAAAAAAAAAGAATGATATTTAAATATGAAATAAATTTATAATAATCTTCTATATTTATACGTGTTAATGCTTTATTTCATTATTTTCGTACATAATTCACACATATCTGTAACTCTCTTTTCTTCATTACATGTTCCATTACTAGTTTTGCAATATTATTTCGTGTGTAGCTTCAAGATATTACAAATACTTAGTGGTGTGAACTGTAACAGCCGACTAACCACGGATTTCAGTTTGACTGGATTTAATTTTCTTTAATTTTATCAATAAAAATAAATCCGACTTATTTAATTTATTATTAAAAAATTTAAATTAAGTTATAATAACTCAACATTTATTTTAAATTTTAAAAATAATTATAATAGTTTAATAATTTTAAGGGATGTATTTCTTCATTTCTATTATCACTGTTGTAAATTAAATCTTTATTTAAGTTTATTATTAATTATTTAGTGTAATATTGTGTGACTACTTATTAAGTTTGTTGTTTGTTGTGTCATTATATTTTAATTACGTTACAGTATTTATTGTAATATCATAGTTCAATCACATTATAACGTTAATGTATCATTGTACTGTAACATTTCAGTCACGTTATAATATTTATCGAGCCACCAAATACACTATATCACTAAATTCATCGGTGTCAACACATCACCATATCACTATACTTAAGTTGCATCATAAGATTTACCGCTTTTGAATCCCGTCACCATGTTTACCGTCTCATAAACTTTATAAGATATATAATTAATTTGGGACTTATTTATGCATATGTATGATCATGGACAGTAGATTTTTGGTAACTTGGCTTCACATTCATGATTCATGATTCATGAACATGCTTTATGGGGGCTACGTGAATTGATAATTGAAAAATAAAAAGTTTTTTGCATACAGAGTGCTTGTTTTCAGGAACACTATAATTAAGGGAAGGTCGGGGCCAAGAGAAAAAGGTGCATTTGACCATGTATGTAACTTTCTGGTGTTCTAGCTTTTGATCCAGGCATACTTACCGTGTGCAAGTGTGGATCCGAGAAAAACATATATATTCTGACCA